TCTCTCTCTCTCTCTCTCTCTCTCTCTCTCACACACACACACACACACACACACACACACACACACTTCTGCCTTACTCTGAAATCCATGTGCTTAGAGCTGGGAGCAGGGGCGGATCTATGTACTTTGCAGCCCGAAGCACGGCAGTCAGGCATCCTTCGGTGGCCTGTGGGAGGTCCGCCAGACCCGCGCCTTCGGCATACCCTGGAGCTGCCCCTGGCTGGGAGCCAGAACTAAAGCAGGGGGAGTGGTTAGAGAAGGGACCAGGAGTCTGGGGTTCTCCCCCCAGCTCTCGGGGAAGTGGGGTGTGGTGGTTAGAGCAGGGGGGACTTGTGGGTCAGACTCCCAGGCTGTGTTGTCAGACCCGCGTCCCCGTCACTCTGTCTAACCCTTGGCCTGTGCTGAAGAGCCGCTGAGACTGACCCTGCAGCCAGCGTAATGCAGCAGGCGTGAGGGGTCTCAGGTGGAGCCTGATAGTGCGACTGGGACCCTGCAGGACCCCCCTGCAGAACAGCGGGAGCGGGTAAAATGTGCTTTGTTGGGGGTGGGTTCGGGTGGGCAAAAAACCAGGCTGCGGTAATTGGCGGGAAAACACTAAATCTCATAAATGTACTAAGAGTCGCCTATTGGGGAAACTGCTAAATATTTTGTTTGAGCTTCTCTTGCCTCTCCATGTTTCTCTCCCTCGCTCCAAATCTGGGGAAATGCACCGGCCCAAGTCAGGTCAGAGAGGCGTTCTGTGATAACAGGAGTTACAGTGTGTTTGTACCTGGTTCAAGCAAGATTTGTTTTATTCTTTTAGTGGTAAAAATTGGGTCTGAATTCCGTTGGTATCGATCATCTCTTCACCCACCCGTTTCTGTCGGTCGGTTGGTTGGTTTTTAGCAGCATGGGGGAATCTGTCTCTCTTGCGGGATTTATGGGATCGAAGGTTTTTGTGGCTGGGGGGGGGGGATGAAAATGCAAAAAACAAAGCCGGGCACTTCAATAACAGGAACGGGATAGAATTAAAACCAGTCCTGCTTAGGTCTCTGGTCTGAGACCCAATGTGTGGTGCCCCCACTGGCGGCTGCGCCCCTCCGGGCAGACCCAGCGCTCCCCGTGTCTCAGGCCAACGTTTGCTACTCTCCCCCATTGCCACGAGCCCTCATTGCCCCGGCCAGCTGAGCTCCCAGGCTGGGTCGTGCCCACCCCTTGGGGGCTGCTCCCCGCTCTGCAGCCAGGCCGCGGCCCCTGGGAGCGCTGCCAGCCCCAGGGCCCCAGCAGGGTTCAATGGTTCCTGACCCCTCCTCTCCTCACAGCCCATCCGTGCCGGCCCTCCCTGGGGCGCCGAATGGAACCGGGACCCTCCCTCACCTGCTCCGTGGGGACCGCCTGCCCCCATCCCCCCTCCTGGTACGACCGAGATGGCGTGTGGCCGAGCGCAGAGCAAACCCTGGGCAGGGCTGGGGAGACCGAGCTGCGAATATCCCCGTCCCAGCTGGACCCCGGCGCGGCGCTGAGATGCCGGGTGGTTGGATACAGGGATGAGTGTGACTCTGACCAATCCCGTCCCCTGGGGACAGGTGAGCTGTGCTGCTAGACATGGCATGGGTAGAGCAGGGGGAACTAGGAGCCAGGACACCTGGAAGGGGAGAAGAGTGGGGACTAGTGGCTAGAGCGGGGGAGGATGGAGTCAGGATTCTTGGTTTCTATCCCCATTTTGGGGAGGGGGGTGGTCTAGTGGATTAAAGTGGGGGAGACTCAGTGCCAGGACTCCTGGGTTCTTTCCCCAGCTCTGGGAGGGGAGTGGGTCTGTGGGTGAGAGGCGGGGGGGGGGGGGGCTGGGAATCAGGACGCCTGGGTTCTATTCCCTCAAAAACTGTCATGTTCAGCAAATATTCTTGACCCATGAGACTGGACGGGGATGGACCTGCCCCTTTGCTCAGTCCCGGGGCCTCTCTGACAAACTCTCACCCGACTCTCGCCCTCAGTCACCCCCAACGTGCGCAGGGTCGAGGGTTTGTGGCCGGCAGGGAAGGCAGCGCTAAGGGAAGGTGACGGTTTTACCCTGCGCTGCTGGGCTGCTGCCCTGCGGCCCATCACCGGGTACGTCTGGTCCCGCGGGGACGTGTGGCTCCCAGAAGCCGGGCAGGATTTACGTGTTGACAAGGCAGCCGTCTCTGACGGAGGGAGCTACGCGTGCGGGGTCTGGGTCTCCGGCCCCGGCTGGGGGTATCTGAGTCTCTCTGCGAGGGAATCGGTCGAAGTTCAGCGTAAGTATCAAAAGCTGGAGAGAGCCTCCTCCCTCGCAGCCCCCGATACTCCCCACACGGCCTCCTGGAGCAGCCCCGCGTGCCCCCACCTCGTCCCCCCTGCTTCACCCCGCCCACCTCATTAGCCCCAGCCTCATATTCCGCCCCCACCTCCTAATACCCGGGTTTCGTCAACCCCAGTGCTGCTCCTCTGGGCTGGGCCCCCTGCTCCTCTGCATCGCTCCCATGGCTGGGCCCATCAGCAACAAATTCAGTTTGTGTCCCCACACACCTGTCCTGGGTCCCCAGCCCCCTCCGGGCCACAGCCCATTCCCCCACCTGCCCCGGGGCCCCATTCCACACTGAGCTGGGCCCTGTCCCCTCCCACCTTCCTGGGTGTCCAGCCACCTCTGTGCCTGCCCCTGCCCCTCCCTCTCGGACAGCCTCTGCCCCCCCAACTGCCCCAGCCCCCCAGCCCCATATGGGTCAGGCCCTGTACCGCCCCTCACCTGCCCCAGACCCCCAGCTTGCTCTGGGCCAGGCCCTCTCCCCCCCCAACTGCCTTGAGTCCCCAAACACTTCTGGGGGACCCCTGCCCCTTATCCCCCACCATCCTGCCTGTTCTGGCCCCCTGGAGCCACATGGGCCAGGCCCTGCCCCTCACCCCCTGCCCTGGATCCCTTCCCCCCTCTGGCCTGGTCCCCGCCCCTCCGTCTCTCTCCGTTCATGCCCTGTGTTTCCCTCTCGCCCCCCAGACACCCCCACAGGTGTCCGTGTTACGGCAGTGCCAGGCACCAGCCCACAGGAAGGGGAATCGGTGACACTAACGTGCAGTTACACCAGCAGCCGCCCCGCCTCCAATTCCTACGCCTGGTACCGGGGTGGCCGGCAGCTGGGGGGATCCCGGCGGGAAATGGTGTTTGTGACGCAGTAGGGAGCGGGGCGGACTGACCTGGGACGTGATGCGGTAGGGAGCAGGGGGGATTCACCTGGGACGTGACGCGGTAGGGAGCGGGGCAGACTGACCTGGGACGTGACGCGGTAGGGAGCGGGGGGACTGACCTGGGATGTGATGCGGTAGGTAGCGGGGGGATTCACCTGGGATGTGACGCGGTAGGGAGCGGGGGGACTGACCTGGGATGTGATGCGGTAGGTAGCGGGGGGATTCACCTGGGATGTGACGCGGTAGGGAGCGGGGGGACTGACCTGGGATGTGATG